GTTACTGTACGTTAAAATGGTACAGTACAACTGTAAAACTATTTTTACTTGAACAATTACCTTAAAATGGTGGTACAGTACACCTGTAAATTATTTTTGCTTTTACAATTACCTTAAAATGGTGGTACAGTACCACAACAGGCATATTGTGGAAAAAAGTTACTAACTGGAGGAGGAAGGGTAGGTGGGAGATGGTGGAGCTGAAGGATCATCAGCAATTAGAGATGGAGGCCAAGATGGAATTTGGCCCACAACTGATGTTGATGGAGCTGAAGGATCATCAACAATAGGAATGGAGGGCAAGACAGATTTTCACTCACACCTGATGTTGATGACACATGTTTTTTGATGGATTCAATTCTGTCTACCCTCTGGAAAAAATTATCTAGTCATATCTTAGTAGCTTTTTCTTTCTCATCATAGCGGACTCTATGCACTGGATTGCATTCTGAATGGCTGCTGCAACCTTTGTGTATCGTTCTACGTTGGGGGTCCTGTGCCTCAAAAACTGACAATGCCTCTTCAAGTAAAGAAAATCTTGCCATTTCCAGTGTTGTGAATCTCTTTGGTTCTTCAGTTACATCTTCCTCTTGGCTCTCTTCGTCTTTTTGCTGGTTCTCTAATTCCATCAGGTCCTCATTAGTAAGCTGCCTCATGTTGCACAGCATGGATTTCAATGAAGTCGTCCTCTTGCAGATCTAGCTCCAGCTTTGTGCTAAGGGTCACTAAGTTGTTGAAGACCTCTTTGGACTCCTTACCCATCTTCTCAAGTCCATGAACTTCATGAACAAACTGCTGGCAAAGGTTCTTCCAAACCCCATTCATGGTGACAGCCGAAACCTCACGCCAAGCAAAGCTGATGTTTGTTATGGCTTTGTAGATGTTATAGTAGTTCCAAAATTGTCGCAAAGTTGTTCTTGTTTCATCAATAGCCTTCACTGCCTGACAAAAAGTGTGACGTAAATAATATTTCTTGAAAGTCGCAATAACTCCTTGGTTCATAGGTTGGATGAGCGCCGTAGTATTTGCTGGCAGATGCACTACTTTGACGTTGGAATGAAAGTCATCCATGTATTAGGGGTGACCTGGTGGATTGTCAAGCAGCAAAAGAATGTTGAATGGGATATCTTTCTCCAAACAATATTTTTGTCTCTCTGGGATAACGTAGTGGTAAAACCAGTCCTGGAAAATGGCCTGTGTAACCCAGGCATTGGAGTTACTCATCCACACAACAGGTTGAGAGCCCTTGGCTATGTTTTTGAGGGCTCTTGGGTTCTCTGAATGGTAAACTAGGAGAGGCTTTAGTTTCATATCACCGGAAGCATTGCCACCAAATGCCTGGCATCACCTTTTCTTCCTTACTGATGTAACTTCGTTCTGGCATCCTCTTTCAGTCCAGTCCTGTCTCATCGACGTTAAAAAACCTGTTGGGGTAAATAAGCACCTTTCGTCAATAATTTCTCTAAGTGTTGCTGGATATTCTTGGGCAGCTATGGTATCTGCACTGGCAGCCTCACCACTTACTTTTATGTTGTGAAGGTTGGCTCTAGCCTTGAATCTGTTAAACCATCCATGGCTGGCAGTAAAAGATGCACACTGTTCACCCCGTTTTTTTGTTCAAGTCTGCAAACAGGCTTTTAGCTTTTTCTTGAATAAGCATTATGCTGAGTGGGACTTGATGATGATCCTGCATCTACACACTGAGAATTTTCTCCATCTCCTTTATCACTTTACCACGCTTTTTGGATATTATTGTTGACTTCATAGGCACAGCAAACTTCACATGTTCCATGATCTTGGCCTTGTTCTTTAGAATTGTGCCAGTGGTTGAATGATTCATGTTATAAGAACGATGTCAACACAAATAAAGGGCTATGGTAAAAGTCAAATTAATGAGCGCAGGAATTTTAAAAAAAAAAATTAAGCTGAAATTCAGATGTATATTTAAAATAAGTTAGTAATTCTTAAAAACTGTCTTCAGTTTCTACAAATAGTATTTAGTATTTATAAAACACATATTATGGAAGAAATAATAGGTGATCTTGCAAGTTCTGTGTCAAGTTTTATATTGGATTGATACATACCTGTGTAAACAAGTTACATTTTATAGCTTACTGTAATGGTAGAGCAGCTGTTCTTGAATACACTACAGGAGTGCGTAGGTGGTCCATCATATGGTCCATAATAACCTTCTGTAACTTTACAAGTTTCCAATTATAATTTCCTGACAATTAACCATATACGGCAAAGTTATATTAGCTGCTCCTTTTAATATTAGAGACATCTTTGAGCTCCAGCCAGGTGACTTTGCCTGGTCTGCAATGTCAGTCTGCTGCAAGCAGGAAAAAGCATTTCCCAGCTTCCTCCCCATCAGTGATTAGACTGCAGTATTCTAATTTTGCAGCATATTACTAGTTGAAATGCTGTAGAAGGGGGGACTTATCTAAACAGGTGCAAAGATTTACATGATTTTGTCTAATCTCTGAGCCATCTTCTCAGTCCAGAAAGCATATGCTGACCATGGTTGATGCCAGATAGAATATAGCACCGTCCTTTTGATGCAAAGCAAAATAAAGATTTTATTTTTAACTTATCTGTCTACTTTATGCAGGAAAATGGCACAGTGCCACCACTCTCCCAGTTATGCAGACCATAAAGAAATGTGCAAAAAAATTAACTTTTTTCACCACTACTTTTTCAAACAAATGTAACATTTTAGAGGTTTAATGAGAGTTTGCCATACCTAGATTGAAATGTGAATTCCCCCGCGCTCGACAGAAGTCAGTTGTTTAATGGACGTCTGTTGTAGGGACATGTTGGAAAATTTTCCAACAGCCATTAATCTGTGTTCTCTGACATCCACTTTGTTTTTTTTGTATCATTCGGCCTAGTGCAGTGGTCGGCAAGCCGCGGCTCGCGAGCCACATGCGGCTCTTTACCCAGTCTAATGCGGCTCTTCTGTGTGCCGGGCGCTGCTCCCCTCCCTCCTCTCGGTCGGTCCGCCGCTCCCCTGCCTCCTCTCGGTTGGCAGCCCCAAAAGTCCGCGCGGACCTTTTAATCCGGCCTACGGATGTGGCTGTCAGGATGTGTGTAGGCGGGGCAGCGTGCCGAACGTGAGGGGAGGGGAGCTAGGCTCCTCTCACAGTCCGCCCTGAAGACCCGAACGGCGCGGGAAGACAGCGAGAGGAACGCAAAAGGTAAGTGAATTGACACGGGGGACTTGGCTTACTAAAGAAGGGGGGGGGGGAATAGTACTGTGGGGGATGAAATACTATATGAGGGATGAATTACTTTATGAGGGATGAAATACTATATGGGGGGATGAAATACTATATGAGGGATGAAATACTATATGAGGGATGAAATACTATATGAGGGATGAATTACTATATGAGGGATGAATTACTATATGAGGGATGAAATACTATATGGGGGGATGAAATACTATATGGGGGGATGAATTACTATATGAGGGATGAATTACTATATGAGGGATGAATTACTATATGAGGGATGAAATACTATATGGGGGGATGAAATACTATATGGGGGATGAATTACTTTATGAGGGATGAAATACTATATGGGGGGATGAAATACTATATGAGGGATGAAATACTATATGAGGGATGAATTACTATATGAGGGATGAAATACTATATGAGGGGATGAAATACTATGTGGGGGGATGAATTACTATATGGGGGATGAAATACTATATGAGGGATGAAATACTATATGAGGGATGAAATACTATATGAGGGATGAATTACTATATGAGGGATGAAATACTATATGGGGGGATGAAATACTATATGGGGGGATGAAATACTATATGGGGGGATGAAATACTATATGAGGGATGAAATACTATATGGGGGGATGAAATACTATATGGGGGGATGAAATACTATATGAGGGATGAATTACTATATGAGGGATGAAATACTATATGGGGGGATGAAATACTATATGAGGGATGAATTACTATATGAGGGATGAAATACTATATGGGGGGATGAAATACTATATGAGGGATGAAATACTATATGGGGGGATGAAAAACTATATGAGGGATGAAATACTATATGGGGGGATGAAATACTATATGAGGGATGAAATACTATATGAGGGATGAAATACTATATGAGGGATGAAATACTATATGAGGGATGAAATACTATATGGGGGATGAAATACTATATGGGGGATGAAATACTATATGGGGGATGAAATACTATATGGGGGATGAAATACTATACGGGGGATGAAATACTATAACGAGGGATGAAATACTATACGGGGGATGAATTGCTATGGGGGGATGAATTACTATATGGGGGATGAATTACTATATGGGGGATGAATTACTATATGGGGGATGAATTACTATATGGGGGATGAATTACTATGGGGGATGAATTACACCATGGGGGATGAATTTACACTATGGGGGATGAATTACTATATGGGAGATGTATTTTCAGTTTTAAAAATGTGGCTCTCAAAATAAATTTCAATCATGGTTTTGGCGAGATTTGGCTCAGTTGAAAAAAAAGGTTGCCCACCACTGGCCTAGTGTATGGCCAGCTTTAGTGTAGTGCAACACTTTTGTATTGAAGTACTTTTTTTATTGACCTTTTATACATCAGACCAGAAAGGGGGAGAAAGGGATTTGTTACAAAAGAGGGACTGCTCCTGTTTGAGGAATTTCTAGAGAGTAAACAGTATAAACTTTAGTTTAAAAAAAAAAACTGAAAAATAAAATAAATATACATTTGCATCATAAATCAGATTCCCTCCTCCTCATACTAACCTACACCTAACTTACCACTGTGTTTACAAGTTGTTTTGCTGATAATTCTTCATCCTCCCATTTAATGTGTTTTCTATTTTATAGTTATATACTTTATTTTTTACTGAACATAATGCAAAACCAATTTTATTTGTTTTCTTCCAGGTGGGGAAAGTGACACAGAGTCTGAACTGACCTACAAAAAATGCAAGAGCCGACTAAAAATGACATGTCTTTCAGACGGACTGCTTCAGTGGAGCCCAAAGCAGCTGCTAACTTTAACCAGTTCCTTCCAAGTAAAACAAAACCGTTAAGTTACATGCCAGCACCCCTGAGGAAGAAGAAAGTAGATAAGAATGAGGACAACAGGAGGAGCTGGGCGAACCCGATCTTCACCGAGCCTGATGGGACATTTTCCAGGTATGTCTGTTTTGTATGTATGATAGCTGGCTGTTTATGATCCCTCCTATAACTATGTACGTAGGACTGAAAAATGGCAGTGTTTCTAATAAACTTTTATATATAATTGGTCATGGTAAATGACATAATGTATGACTTTGGGAAAAAACATATATATTTTATATATAGATTTAATGTATGTTATTAATATTAAAGAATATTGGCGAACTGGAAAGTGCAGAAAGGGGCAACGAAACTGATGAGAAGCATGGAGAATCTCAGCTATGAGAAGATTAGCTGAAATGAATTTACTCTCTCTTGAGAGGAGGAGACTAAGGGGGATGTGATCAACATGTATAAATACATAAGTGGTTTATATAGTGAACTTGGTGTAGAATTATCCACTTTCAGGTCATTACAGAGGACAAGGGTACACTCTTTACATCTTGAGGAAAAGGGATGTAGCCTTACAGATAGGCTTCTTCACAGCAAGAGCTGTGAAAATGTGGAATAGGCTCCCTAAAGAACTGGCTCTGAGCAGCTCAGTAAATTTAGTAAGTTTAGTATTTAAAAAAAAAAAAAAAAAAAAAAAAAAAAGATGAATGCGTTCCTAAATGAACAAAACATAATTGGATATTAATATTTAGAGGGAATAATGACAGGTGTAGTTTATCCAGGGAATATTCGATTGCATCATGAGGGATCAGGAAGGAGTTTTATTTTTCACCTGCTGGCAAAATGGAATCTTGCTTTGTCTTTTTGCCTTCCTCTGGATCAGCTGTGGATATAGAATTGTGTATGTTGAGGTTTTATATTTGTGTGCTTATTTTTTTCCCCTATTTATTATTGGTTGAACTAAATGGACTAGTGTCTCTTTTTTTTTCAACCTAACTATGCAACTATGTTATAACTGTTACTACATTTTGAATATTTACATGGCATCTACTCAAGTCCAGAACATTGGTGCTTAGGGGACTTTGCAAAGACAAGTTACTGAAATAAAATTAATTTGCAAAACATTTTGAAGCAGTTCAGATTCTGAGGATGATGGGAAGTTACCCGATTTGGTACTTGATGATTTAGCGCAAAGAAAGTTTCGCATAAATGCCAAGCCAGCTGCAACTTCCACTCTCCACGCATCATTCAATATAGACTCTGTGAAACCTTTCAGGTCAGAGTTATGAAGTTAGCTGTTGGGCTATTCATATTGACTTCTCTGTGTGTGAATTTTCAGCTATTACTACTTGTTTGACAAATCTAAGACTTGTTATGGATTTGAAAGTGGTTGATATCTGGTAAGACAAACTAATGTTTGCTGTGTTGCCGGTTTTGCTAAAAGCATGCTGAGAGATACAAATAATCTTGGCATAAAGCGTTAACTGGCTCTTTTTGTACATTAGCCAAGACCAAGGATTGGTTCCGAAGAGCCAAAATGGCCAAAAAAGTCATTTAGTTTATGACAGATTATCTTCAGATGAAGATGAAGAATTTCAAAGAGAACTTCCAAATATTATCAAGGATGACCTCTATGCTAGAAAAGTCAGTCTACCTCCACATCAGTTGAAAGATGGGGCATTTCTGCACAAATCTGAACAAATGAAGGATCAAGTTCAGAAAATAATGCGGACTAGAACTCCTCGTCATTGGTACAATGAATTTCAGGGATTCAGGTTTGTGTTCCTATTTTAGCTGTTTATGTACCTTTTATGAATTGTAGGACTTACTAGAGGTTTAAAACGTTCCAGATGTGTTTGCTACCTGAATGTGTTAGTTTAGAACGTCTACACAATGAAAACAAAAGCAACGACACCTACTCTTATTTGTTCACTGCAGTATACCTGTGACAAGTTGTAATACTATTAACAAGTGCTATTCCATAGCCACTTATGTGTCTGAGTGAAGTAGTCTTAGCTCTACCCTCATGCTGCAGATTTTCAATTCAGAGATAGTGCTGTATACTACTTGTGTGCAGACCTACGAATTATTTAGCAAAGATGCTAATGCTGGAACCAAGTGAGTCAAAGGAAAAGGTTTGAGCGATTGTCCACCGAATGCTCTGCACTCCTACATGTGGAAATGTTTTGTTATATTTAGGATTGTAGGTTTCCCTGTTTCTTCAATCAGCTACTTTTTGTTACAGATATCTTTTTCTCATGATATGTTTTCATTAGTGTATAGTAGTAATGCTGTGAAAATCCTAAAACCTGCAAGCCAGATTCTCATTCAACATTTTATTGCAATGACTACAGTAAGCGAGCCATGGATGACAGTGAATGGGCATCTGATATTGCATCAGTTTTAAAAGCTTAAAACCTGATGTGCTGCAAGATAAGGAATTTGAAGTCCGATCAGACGTCATCAATAACAGTAGAGAAGGCAAGAAAACGGATCCATCAGAAAAGCCAAGGTGGTGACGATAGCATGATTTGCATGTTGGAAATGAGTGTGTTTTAACTTCCTATAACCATTTAAACCATAATTGTGTTATGTTTAATTTGATGTTGTTTAGAACATTTTAGAGAACAAGAATTAGAGAGAGAATTTTATATCTAATCTGATATAGTTTTTTTTTTGTTTCACTTTTTGGACATTACAGTCAATTTTTAATACTTCAGGCACTTCAGAAAATAACTTCTGATTTGATGTCTTCGGAAAATAAAGCAAAAATTGACCCTACATCTGGCCCTAGACTAATACACTCCCTTTCACTATCAACAAATACTCAGTCAGAACATGGTGTATATACAATGCCAGATCTAGAAAATGATGATTTGTTTGCACGTAAAACTGGAACATTTCACCTCAATCAAGTAATCAATCTTGGAACCCCTTTGGCTCAAGTACTGGAAATTGAAAAAGACATTGTACTACAAAATAATAAAGAAACCGAAGAACTTCCTGATTTGGTAAAAGATGACATGATTACGCGTAGAGGTCAGTTGGAACCCAAAGAAGTTCATCTCTCAGGTGCACCAGAAATTTACAATGCAGTCCCATTTCCAGATCCTTTGACCCTTCCTGAAGAAATACAGTTGAAATTCCTCTGTTTGGTAAAGAAACCCACAGGACCTGAAAAGGCCGATAACCAAGGAAGAGTGCTTAATCCTTCTGAAAAACTCAGGAAAGATGATATGTTGACTCGAAAAGTTCAGTTGTGTCAGTCATCTCTGGCATCAAGGCCAAAACAATTCATCTATGGCCCTTGCAGTGAGGAAGACATAAAAAAGTGGGAATCCATTAGAGAGGCTAGCAAAACAAGACACAAGAAGCACCAATTGGTGGAAAGGTCAGACCCTGTGTTATGTGCATGGAAGCAAGCTCAGTTCCGTGTGTTGGTGTGGTATAATGTTTAATTTAGTATTCAGAATTTTTAGTGTCTTATGGATATATCTATCGATCTGGTTTTCAGAAAAAATAAAATTCAATTAATACTTCATAAGCTAACTTTTACCAGCGTGTGTTTCCATCTGTAACTGCTGTCATTCTAAAATTGTGTTCATCTGTAAATGTAAGACCTGCCCTTCATTTAGATTTTTTCTTTAAATACTGGAACTTGGTGTCATTTTTTCTTTTATATGCAGCAAAACATGCATTTTGGTTTATGAAGATGAATTACAAGTAGAAATCCCATTCTTTGCTAGACACTGATTCACTTCCTTGTGCTACAGTTGAATGTGAATAGAGAATGGAAATTCTGTGGGCCTATTTACTGTATACCTATGCATGTGCATTACCATTCATGCTGCAATACATATGGAACAGTGTGAATCCATCATTAAGAGTTATCGCCAGAGTGAAAATATAAATACATCAGTCTATTGACTGTGAAAACTATGCAATTGGTTTGTTTACATGTTACCAAAAATATTGTGATCTGGATTTTATTTTGTTTATAAAAAATGCGTTTTTTGGTTATAAAGCAAATGTACATATGATTTTCTCTCTGGTTTCTCAGACTGCGGGAAAAACTTTCCGTTGACAGTGGGTAAGTTTTAATATTCGCGTGAAAGGGATATATTGATCCTTTTTTGTGCAGTAATAGTGTTAACTTTTTATTCACTAACTTGTGACAGCCAGTTATGACTTGGCAGGGGTGTAGTGCAGATATGCATGCAGCTTTTTACATGCTATGCTTTAAAATATTAATGGAAACATCTGCTCCTCAGGAATTATTTCCTAGCAAGCTGTGTGTGGCTTTGTTTTGGCATTAATGACTAAAATAGGAACACATTGAATAAATAGGATAAAATAGGAAAAATGAATAATTGTGCTTGGGTTGCTTCAGTAGTTTTCCTTTTACATGTCTGAGAAATGAGAAATTCTAAAGGATGGCAAATCTGAAGCCTTACAGGAAACACTAAATGGATTCTCAAAAGTTTATTTTTTATTCCCTAGACTTGTAGTGCCTTGCTTCTTTAACTTTTATTTGATTTTCCAGTATAAAAAGAACAAAATGTTTATAAAAATTCACGTATACACATTCCATAATACCCCATTATACCTCCCCACCCTATCCCCCTCCCCCGTTTTCCCTTCCCCCTCCCCCGTTTTCCCTTTCCCTCCCCCCCGTTTTTCCCTCCCCCGAATCCCCCTCCCCCGTTTTCCCTTTCCCCCTCCCCCTCCCCCGTTTTTCCCTTCCCCTCTCCCCCTCCCCCGTTTTCCCTTCCCCCTTTTCCCCCCTTTCCCCCCCTCCCCCCCTTTTTTCCCCCCCCCCCCCCCTCCCCCCTTTTCCCTTCCCCCTTCCCCCCCCCCTTTTCTCTTCCCCCCTCCCCCCCTTTTTCCCTCCCTCCCCTTTTCTCCTTCCCCTTTTCTCCTTCCCCCCTTGCCCCCCACACCTTTCCCCCTTCTCCCCCCTCCTTTTCTCCTCCCCCCATCCTTTTCTCCTCCCCCCATCTCCTTTTCTCCTCCCCCCCCATCTCCCTTTTCTCCTCCCCCCATCTCCTTTTCTCCTCCCCCCCACCTCCTTTTCTCCTCCCCCCATCTCCTTTTCTCCTCCCCCCCCCATCTCCTTTTTTCTCCTCCCCCCCCATCTCCTTTTCTCCCCATCCCCTTTTCCCCCCCCCATCCCCTTTTCTCCTCCACCCCCATCCACCCCCATCCCCTTTTCTCCTCCACCCCCATCCCCTTTTCTCCTCCACCCCCATCCCCTTTTCTCCTCCACCCCACCCCTTTTCTCCTCCACCCCCATCCCCTTTTCTCCTCCACCCCCATCCCCTTTTCTCCTCCACCCCCATCCCCTTTTCTCCTCCACCCCCCATCCCCTTTTCTCTCCCCCCCCCATCCCCTTTTCTCTCCCCCCCCCCATCCCCTTTTCCTCCACCCCCATCCCCTTTTCTCCTCCACCCCCATCCCCTTTTCTCCTCCACCCCCATCCCCTTTTCTCCTCCACCCCCATCCCCTTTTCTCCACCCCCATCCCCTTTTCCCCTCCCCCATCCCCTTTTCTCCCCCCCCCCCCCTTTCCCCCCCATTTTCTCCCCCCCCCCCCTTTTCCCCCCCCCCATTTTTCTCCCCCCCCCCCATCCCCTTTTCCCATTTTCTTTCTCCCCCCCCCATCCCCTTTTCTCTCCCCTTTTCCCCCCCCCCATCCCCTTTTCTCCCCCCCCCCCCATCCCCATCCCCCTTTTCCCACATCCTCTTCCTGACCTATATCTTCTCTCATGTTTATCTCCAGCACTGCTCTCCCTCAGAATCACACTTAAGGCTCTCTCCTGGCTTCTAAATTTCTCCATCAATTCCCCCCAGTTCCATATATCTTTCAGAGGATTTAAATTTTAACCAACTGTGAGCTGCGTTTGGTGTAATATACCATTTAGTTAAACATTTATAATTCATCTCAACTGTGCTCATATTTGTCACCTCATGTGTTAATTTGAAAACTTTATTCCATTGCTGTACACTCAATTTTGTTCCAAGCTCCTTTTCCCATTTTTCCAAAAACCCCGGAGGATCAGTTCCTTCCATAGCCATTAGGATCTTGTAAATCCTAGAAGTAACATGTTTTGGAGTTATGTTTTCATTTAACAGTTTTTTCAAATGGGTACATATCCTCTGATGCCCTCAATGGTTGAGGGAGACTTGAAACTAAATGATTTAGTTGATAATACCCCGGCTCATCAAATGTGATTAAATCTTTTTTCTTCAAGTTTTGAAAAGTGTGCAATTTCCCTTCCTTCAATATATCCTTCAAGTATGCATTCTTATCCTTTAACCATTTCCCAAAAATATTATCCTTCCCTGGAGTGAAATACTCTGTTCCCTCCAAAGGAGTCAATATGGAGTCCCCACGGAAAAAAGCCCAGTTCCACGAGGCCGCATATTTGTGTGATGTCAGCGGGAAGGGGTTAAGGTCTTTTAACTCATCTCTTATAGGTATTCTCTTCAGGTATATATCTGTTCCTCTCTCCTTTTTTTTTTTTTTTTAAAATGTCCCAACTTATAAAGCTTTTTTGTCATCTTTATCTTTATTCTTTTCCCTTGTTCCTTCTTTTGCTCTGTTCCTGCCGAAATCCGTATTCCCCTAATATATGCATTGTGTGTCTCCCAGACTGTGGCCTCAGAGACCTCGTTAGTCTCATTAAGCTCGAAAAATTGTTCAATTTCTCTCCTTAGCCTTTTCTCTACTTTGGGATCCTGTATGAGCATTTCACTTAATCTCCATATAGTTGTTTTATCTTGACCTCCTCCTACTCGTAATCTCATTGTGATGGGATCATGATCAGACAGACATGACCTCTATGTTGGAACTAACCAATGACTCCAACTATATATGTTCTATCATTATATAATCTAGTCTCGAATAAGAACCATGTACACAAGAGAAGAAGGTATAGTCTTTCTCTTGGATGTTTCACTCTCCACGTATCCGCCAATTGGTGTTTATATAATAACCTATTCAATAATTTCAACTTCCTACTCCCTTCTCTCTGTGTACATGGCAACGCATCCAACTGAGGATCTAAACACAGATTAAAATCTCCAGCCACGACCAGACTTCTGTTTTTTAAATTCAGAGAGTTTCCTTAACATCCCCTCTAAGAATATCACTGGGTTTTTGTTTGGGCAGTATAGATTAGCTAATGTAAATTCCAAACCTTGTAACTTTCCCCTGAGAAATGGGAACCGGCCCTCTGGATCTTCCAGTCTACCTTCCAGGGAAAAAGTTACATTTTTTGAGAACCCAATTAACTATCCTTTGGCCCCTTTAGTTGCCTATAGACAGATGGCGGCTGGGCGAACACCTCTGGGTGGATGCCATATGGCAGCCTTTTCGGAGCATTGCATGTGCCCGTAGGGCCACGCTGCGGCACGATCTGTCACCAGCCATGTACCTCGGACACGGCCGATGACAGATCTGTGTACCGGCCCCGTTGCCAATACAATGTGACCTGCTGTAACCAATCACAGCAGGTCACATGACAGTTGTATATAGTGGATGGCTTCCTTTCATGCCATCCATTGTATGCAAGTCTAGCTGTGAATGGTCACAGTGATCACATGCACAGGCTGGGCCAATCACAGCCCAGCTGTGTCATGTGATTAGCCGTGGCCAGATCACAGCTAATCACAAAAAAACCCCTGAATGAATCGATTTCATTCAGGTAAATGCTTGTTTATAGCAAAGTAATTCTTTGCTATAAGCAAATTGTGTAAAAAAAAAACAAAAAACTGATCACTGCCCCAAAGCAGTACAGTGTTACTATGGTAACATTATACTACTTTGGTCATAGTGAAATATGACAAAAATCTTAAGAGAAAAAAAGTAATAAAAGTAAAAAAAAAATCAATTTTTTTAACCGTAGTGTCACCAGTCCGTGTCCCTGATCACCGCCACGCCAGTTATATGATGATGCTGTACTGCACTGGTGACAGTATGTAAAAACAAAAAATAGTGAATAGTTTTTTTAATTTCTTAATTTTCCGAAGCTTTATGACAAAAAAATTACAACTTCAAAAAACTTGCCATACCTCTTATGAAGTACGTCGGACTGCCTACTTTGCAAAAAAGGGTCATTTGGGGGATATCTGTACTGTTCTGACATACTTGGACCTCAAGAAATTAGATTGGCTGTCAGTACTTCAGAATTGATCAATTTTCGGATATATCCCATAGTTTGTGAACTCTATAACTTTCCTACAGACTAAATAATACTGATTTGGGTTATTTTCACCAAAGAAATGTAGCAGAGTACATCTTGGCTTAAATTTATGAAGAACAATTATTTGCAAACGTTTGAAACGTGTTTTTTTTTTTTTTTTTTTTTTTTTTTTTTTTTTCCTACATTATTTTTTTTTAATTTAGCAAAAAATAAAAACCCCAGTGGTGATTAAATATCACCAAAAGAAAGCTCTAGTTGTGTTAAGAAAATAACATTTTAGTTTGGGTACAGTGTTGCATGATCGCGCAATTGTCATTCAAAGCGTGAGAGCGCTGAAACCTGAAAATTGGCCTGGGCAGGAAGGGGGTAAAAGTGCCCGGTATGGAAGTGGTTAACTGGTGAGTACGCATAATACCACACTGGAAGAGACTTTGATTATAATTTAATATTTTGTGTCTCGGGTTTAAATGTGTTTCTTGGAGAAATACTACTTCTATAGAGTGTTGATGGATTATCTTATGTGTTTTTATCGGGGAGTTCAGCCCTTTCACATTATATTCTATTCTATTGTAGTTGCTTTGATCTACTATCTTTCAAGAGAAAACTGATACAGTTTAGGATATGTATGCTTTTCCTTCTCCCCCCTGTAACAACCCATTACCCCCCCTCCCCCCCCCCCCCCCCCCCCCCTTTCCTCAGACCCCTCCTCTCCCCCCCACCTCCCCCCAACCCTTGGGCCTAAGTTTTGCTTTTGAATCTGTCGTGGGACCTTTCCACTGGTGATTCCCATATTGGGGTGGGACTCTAAACATGCACGCCCACTCTGCTCCCCATCTTGCAACATAGGGGATCTAGAGTTTTGGCAGTGCATTAAGCCTCCAAGGAGCCCGCTCTCATCTTCTCAACATTGCTTAGTTCCTGCTGCCCTTCTAACCCCTCCCCCCCCATTCTCCCTATATGGGCCTGCAGCCTCGGCACGGGATAGGAGAGATGGGGGAGGAAGAGGCGAGGAGAAAAAAGGCACAACATGCTAATGTCATTCTTCTCACCTCCTTCATCTCCCCCCCCCCCCCCCCCCCCATGTTGGATTACCTTTTCCTTTTATTTACCGTCTGCCACGTTTCCTTTCCTGGCCCTAAACACTCAGTAGACCATCCCACAATGTCCATTTCTTGTAAATCTAATTTTCTACAAAAGTCACTGAATTCTTCTGGGAATCTGTCCCATCTTTCCGCCCAATCAGGAAGGCAGGGCACTCCCAGTTATATCTGCAAACCAGTCTTAATTTTCTGAGTCACACATGCAGTTATATCCAACAGTTTAGTAATTTTTCTAGTAAACTTTTTTTCTGGACTCTTAACAGGCTATTGATTGAAAAAGGGTGAATCTGGATTGATTTTTTTTTTTCTCTGTTTTTTATTATCTAATACATTTACTTTGAAAGAAATCTAAAACTGTAACGCCACTTGATATGCAGCAAAAGACAACGCTGAATGAAGATTCTTCAAATGTTCATTGAAGTGCAGTGCTTTAATATTGATTTCTCCTAGCTGAAACCCATAATTTAATTGGTATTTGTTCTGACAGCAATTGATAGATTACGATGTGGAGTAGTTTGTGAAATAGCCAAGGTCTTCAGGTTACATCCTTTTGAAACTTCTGCTCTTCCCTGCAAAAGGCTATTCTGTACAGCATGTTGGCTGCAAAACAGCTGTTATATGTATACTGAGGGTTTAGAAGATACAACCAGAAAGCTACAACATTCACTTTAGGGCTCCATGCACACTAATGATTTTTAAGCTCCTAGAAGCTATTAGCATATTTTTTTTTTTCTGCTCGTGGAAGCTAAATAGTGTTCTCCACTGTGTTCATGCCCACTACTTTAGGCTATTAGCTTTTTTGTTTGAGCTTCAGAATCTAGGAGCACAAAAAAAAATTTTTGTACAGTTTTTGGAGCGTTGTTCCAGCAGAAAAAAAAGCGCTAAACTATACTAAAATGCTTATAACCGCTTTTTTTTTTTTTGTCCCTTTACATACACTGTAAAATCACAAATAAAACGCTACTGCTCTTTAACACTTCTGAATGCTCATAAAATGCTATTACCAGTGTTTTTTTTTATCCAGCGTTTTTTGAACATAAAAAAAATTTGCGAGTGTGCATAGAGCCTAAAGAACACAAATTATTGTGCAGCCCGGTCCTGCAAATTGTAAGCTGCCTTTGTTTCTTTTCAATGTAATATGTATATTTATCGCTACTAAATAAAGACGTCAAACCTAATGTGGTCACTAATGTAGTCAAGCTCAAAATTGACACAATTATGTCCAGAGATCCCAAAATAAACCTATTGTTGAAGCAGGTAAACGGGTTATTGTTACATTAGTCTGGTAATTGTTCTAAGAACCCTTGAGTTTTTATCTACCCTTCAGGCTGATCCACTTAGACTGCACTTTAGATGAGCGTAAAAGCTTTAATGAATGCAGTCTTTAAATGTTTCACATTCCTTTTTGGTTATCATTGTTCCTAGCTACCCAGTATCCCTAGTTGCATAATGAGCCTGTCCAGCAACAAACACTGAGCCTTAAATGAGCATTGCCCATTTATAAACTGGAAATTAAATTCTCGACAGCTTTATTATGTTTTTTTTTTTTTTTTTTTTTGTCTGACACTGTATGTGCATCCACTGAAGAGTTTTCCTTACCTAGAGTTTTACTGGTACAGGAAATCAGCCAAATTTCCAAATGTAAAATTTAAAGAAACATTTTAGCTTTAGTTCCATTTCAATCTCAGACAATTGAATGCTTGGGTATATAGCCACTAAACATACATAATATGTATCTACTAACGTACATAATTATGTAGGACATAATGCACATATGCTTTTGGTCTTATGGGAATGCGTTCCTTAAATTTGGTTGAATCAAATTTAAAGCTTTGCTTTGAGTATGTAGTGCTTAGCTTTGCTTTTGCATTCTTTTCCTGATGCATGACTTAACGTTCTTTGTGTAAACACTTTGGAACTATTGAATTTTATAAATTAAACTATGCTGTATTTTGTTGGAAGTTCATTTTTATAGTCAGTCATGATATAGAGATCTCCTTTTTATTTTATAATAATCTGATTTTAAAATTTAAATATTTATACACCAACAGGAGTAAATCGCTTGAAAACTGCAATGCAGAAGAACTTCAAAGTCAGAGAAAAGTTCGCTATGAAGAAATGCAAAAAATAAAAGGCCAGTTACAGGAGCAAGATCAAAAGTGGCAAGATGTAAGTGCACTGGGCAATGTCTTCTGCTGTTGCAATACTTCATTACATTAAGCTGTATCTAAATGCTTTTTTTTTTGTTTTTGGATAGAGTAGGGAAGGGTTATAACCTCTGTCTTATTACTGTCTGTGGGACATTCATTTTATCTGTTTGTCCTGGTGACCTATGTTAAGGGTTCATGTACACTGCAGCTGATAAACTCATGCTCAGGAGCTTTTCTGTGTTTTTTTTCAGCCGCCCCTGAACTCTCCATGTACACTGTCGTTTACAGTCATTTACAGGCAGTTGAGTTTACAGTCATGTTTTTGAACGCACCAAATTAATGTTCAGGAGTAGATTTTATCAGCATTCAAATTCCAAATGCTTGTAAATGCGGTTAACAGTGTTTGTTTATACACATTTAACTGTTCCATATCCAAATGCTGTCCAGAGCCTTTTTGCATCATCAGAAATGTATGCAAAGCGTTTTCCATGTATTCAAATGGACCTAGCACACCAGTACAGTCAGTTCCAGGTTATGCGTGAAGGAAAAAATGGTAGAACGTGCTGCATTATGCTCATGATGGGATCCATAGTGAATACAAGCAGAAAAGACAGGTCATCTCAATACATACTGCTCTACGTTTTCCAGCAGTTAGTTTCTATCGTTCAGAAGTGTTTTCCAGAAGTCCCGTGTACATGGAGCCTAAAAGTGAAAAAATATCTAAGGTTTTGAGCTGTCGCTAGGATTGGTTTAGATTGGAAGTTTTGCCAATGGGGACACTTATTCAGTACACTTGTTTGAGAGATTTCCCCTAGCTGACAGTGAGAAAAATATCCCCATATGTACACAAAGCTAAGGCAAAAAAACATATGGGTTTTACTGCTAAAAGAAAAAAATATATACTTTATATTCTTAAGCAGCCAAGTTTGCAGTCTTTATACTTGAAGGGGAATGTCAGTAGTGTTTTTTTTGTTTGTTTTTTTTTCTCCTAAGTCCACAGTTACAATTACTGCAGCTGCTAACTTTTAAAGAATCTTATCAGTGTGTGGAGTCCAGTGCTGTTTTCTGCAGGTGGCTGCAATCTTGGATATGGGACCTGGCTGTGGCCATTTGAGGGAAAAAAAGCTGGCTCCCCACTAAGCATGCGCAAGTTCGCACATCACTACATCACTTTGTGAATGGTCCTGCAGTTTCCTGGAACATGTGACATTTCCCAGGATGATGCAGAAGGGGTGGGGCAAGGGCTGTCATCTTTTCCTAGGATTGCAGAAGTGGGAACAGATACTGATAAATATCAATATTCACTCCCCCCCACCCCCTCATAAAAAAAACAAAACAAACTAATATTTTACACACTGAAGGGTGGAGTGAATCAGCAGCACTTCATTTTTAAAAATGACGTTCCACTGTAAGTGCAAGGTATCTTTACCTTGGTGGTTTACCCGTTCTGGTGACTTCACTAATTCTTACTACTGCCTCATAGGAGACACCTGCGCTGCCCTAAAGAGTATGTAAACCCAACATTTCATATTCCTGATATGTGCCTGCTGTACCATGTACTTCTGTGGAAAAAAAGTATCCTGTGCTTTTTGTATTCCTTTGTTTGAAATCCCTAGCGTTCCTGCCAGTCCCTTTGCTTTCTTATTAAAAACTGACTACACTGGACATGAGAGCACAGCATGGTCAGCTTTCTAGCTGTACTGGAAACTCAGTGGGGTTTATTTACTAAAGCCGGAGAGTCCAAAATCAGACTCCCTTCTGCATAGAAACCAATCAGCTTCTAACCTCAGCTTGTTCAATGAAGCTTTGGCAATGAAACCTGGAAGCTGATTGGTTTCTATGCAGAAGGGAGTCTGATTTTGGACTCTCCAGCTTTAGTAAATAAACCCCAGTGTGTTCTCCAATGATCAGACTTCTGCTCACTCCCACACAAAGTTCAGTGTACTGCTTTTTCTCCTCTCCCATCTCTGTTCTCAGCTGCATATGGAGTTTAGCAGGTTGAAAACATATTTCAAATTCTCCTTTGCCACAAGACAAATGGTGTATATATGCAAACAGACACATATATTTTGACATATATTACAACCTTTATGCAGGCTTCAGCTCCCTAGTACTGTCACAACAAAAAACCTCTAGCTGCACAAAGGTTTTTGTTTTAAAATCTGACAAAGAGTTTTGTTTATTTTACTTACGAAGGACCTGGTAAAATGGAAAAATCGCAGGAAAAGCTTCACATCGGATCTTCAGAAGAAGAAGGAGGAAAGAGAAGAAATTGAAAAGATTACAAATGAACCCCCAGAAAGGACTTATAAGACCTTCAAAGAAATGCGTGAAGAAAGGTAGGGTTGTCTGCTTTAAAAAATTGGCTAAAGCTCAAGTCCAGTCAAAACCTTTTGTATAAAGAGAATGGTTAGAAATACTATTAGATTGTTATTGCGGTCTACGTCAAGGTTTTCCCCCCTACTTTATATCAGCACAAGAATTGATAGAAACACTTTCCAATGGGGAACACACTGAATTTTAATTTTAGTAGTTAAGCTGGTCATGCACTGCACACAATTTTCTCTGTTTGCGGCTCTCTGTTGCCTCCCGCTTGAAATCTCTTGATTGAACAATTGATTAAGGCAGGTGGAAAATGATCAGCCAAATAGTAGCTGCATTCAGTCTGTATTACCAACATAATGATGGCTAGGAACGTTGGACAATATTTTATTGAAGTCCATCTCTACAAGATATGAAAGGAGTGAGACTGGAAGTGAAGGAAAATCTTGACAAGTTTGAAATCATTCAGATTTTGATTTCTGTCTAAGTATAACTAAAAGCAAAAATGTTATCTTACCAGTACAGGACACAGGACTTGTATTTGTAGACCATGGGTTATATGCCAAGAACTTTGCTTGGGCAGCCCCTAGAGTTTACTCGTATAACCCTGCCCACTCGATTCAGTTCTTTGTGACTGTCTTTAGGTCAATGCCTAGACTTGGCAGAGTGGTCTGCACCCTGAAATATTTCAAAATCTGTCTAATTCGGGAAAGCAATCTGTGGACATCCTGGAGTGCAGGTTCAACAACAAACTGTACAAGTTCATGGCCAAGAACAGGGATCCTGTAGCCTTCACAGTAGACGCTTTGGAGATTCTTTTATTCAATTCCAACTGGTTTATACCTTCCATCCAATGAAGATCCTCCCTCTACTGCTTCTGACGATAGAGAAGGAAAAGGTCCTTGTGATTGTGATTTTTTTTTTTTTTTTTTTTTTTATACCAGATGCTAACAGACATGCTTAAACTTTGAAAGAGGCCAAGCCTCACCTGCCCAAACACACTAGACTTACTAGACAAAGCCCTCCTGTTTGTTCTGTTTTTCAGGCGTTCGATTTAATAGAATGGCTATTGAAACCCAATTCCTAAGAGATAGGGTATCTATGATTCAGCTATTCCCATCTCACTCAGAGTAAAGAAATCCAGCTCCTGCAAGATTTACCATTGCACATGGAAGGCTTTCTTTGCATGGTGCGAGGACAGAAGGCTTAATCTAGAGAAAACTCTATCAATTGTATTTTGGTCTTTCTTCAGCCTGGTTTTGACCAGTGTTTGGCCCTGTATATCCTTGATGGATAAGGCAAAAACTTGTCTCTTCTCTTCCAGAAACCTCTTGCTTTGCAATCCATTTTCAGACTTTCCCACAAAGAGTTGCTCATATCGTTGGGCCACTTCAACTTCCTGTGTCACCTTGGGACCTCAGCCTGGTGCTAATGAAAGCCCTTTAAACCAATAAGATATTCTGGTGGACCTCACCTTTTAGGGTTACCTTCTTGGTTGTCATCATGTCTGATGTCATTTTGCGTTAGACACATAAATTGTTCCTTGATGCACAAATTTTGTTTGATCCAGCGTAATGATACCAAAGGAGATAATGCAGCTATAATCTCCCAAAGGAAACTGTCACGATCCCATGATCGTGACGTCCTATATGTCACAATTGTGGCGTCAGACCCCAGACCTTCTCATCAAACTCGTGACCGAAGGACTAGCCAATCTAAAACCGCGATGTCACGTGCGTAACAATACCACACCCAGCTGCACCCTGCACAACGATTTTCCAGCTAACAGACCACAATCGATGTACCGGCAGCCTGGGCGATTGTTACTTGGTCAGGTTAATTACGCAATTAACCCTTCACACTGCCACCACCTCCTTTTTGTACAGAGAAAGAGGAAACTCTGCGTTATCAGCTATAACACTATAATGATTGAAATAACCGACTGCATAACACGGTCATAACACAGGCCTGTTATACAGAGGGTTAAACAAACAGTAGCATTCTCTTTAGAGGCAGGGATTTGTAAATTGCAATACAGAGCTATAGAAACCGTTCAACACGTTCAGAAAGATTTATTACTAAAAGGTCAAACGGGTGCAATAAAAAATATTTACAGAAAAAAGATGTAACATATATATATATATATATATATATATATATAATATATATATATATATATATATATATATATACATACATACAAATGAATATACAAAGAACCATAGCACAGCAAAGAGATATCAGAGAGTGGTGAAAGGGTTAAGGTACTTTCCAAAGTCCTGGGTTACCAGATGCAAGTTTCAGGGCAAGAGGGCACGTGTCTCCCCAGGTGGTATTGATGTTAAAAATGGGAGACGTCTTCAACTGCCTAATCTTAGGCCTGACAGACGGTTTTGTAGTCCCCAGCAGGGGGTGGCTCTGCAGTCAAGGACCAATCTCCGCTTAGGGCGTGGAGAGAGGGGTAGATGCCTCAACTAGAACAAAAATCGCCCATAACTCATATTTGGTCCATAACTTTTCATCTGCACAACTGACATTCGACCCGTGGGTAGACTATTATGCAGACAAGTCTGAGGATTGATTAAATCTGAATTATGGAAGTGTACACTAAACTGTTCACGAGATCTATTTTTCTGCTTTCCTGTGTGTCAGAGACAAGGCAAGTGACCCATCAAACTGTTCGCCTGCTCATTGTCCATCTGACGATATGTTCGGTTTTTATGTAAGTCTCTCATATTCCAAGATATGAGACATAGGGGAAAAATGGTTTTAACTGAGGTTATCTGATTCTGTCACCTATGCTGAGTTAAGTTTTATGAAGTTGGAATCTCTCTCAACTCTGGAGAAAGCTTACCTTATCTCTTCCGAGATGGGAAATGGTACAGCTTCTTGGGACAGTGAGGCACCTCGTGGCTCCCTGCTAGGATCTGGCCTGTGACAATTTCTAACACACACATATACTGCCATATGTCATTGGGCCTCTCACAGGGGGGGGGGGAAGAATAAGGGAGAAATATATTTGTCAGGACAGTTAACCCCTTTGCCGGGATGGAGGTTGAAACCAAAATGGTTGAACCGCATCCATCGGTGGGTATACGTTGTTACAGGAATCACAGCAGAGTGAACAAAAAGCTAAAGGAAAAATTGTAAAAGAGCAAAAATACCACTGTTATAACACACCTAATGTGTTCAAATAAATGGGATAAATGTCTGTGAATTTAGTTCTAAGAACTCCTCTGTGCCCCAAAGAATAAGAACAAAAGTGCAATTCAGTCATATAGCTGATGGGCTGCTTGAGGAGAACATAGCAAAACTTTCACACACCCATGCTCTACAGCCTCTTTTTCAATGCACAGTGGGCTCATTGGACCTGAATTCAGACTTCTTGTATCCCATTCTTTTGACCCCATGTTAAAGGCTAAATTCACCTTGTACAAATAATAAATGCACATCTTTTTGCAGGTAAAAGTGTATTTTTTTTTTTTTTTTTTACACTGCAGTCTGTAAGGCATTCCACAATGCCACTGATCAAGGGTACAATGCCAGGCTCCTGCAGAAACGTAGTCAGCTGTATTTCTTTACCTTGTACGGGCAGGCAGTTACTAAATGGCTGCAAGAATCCATGAACAATGAGAGCTCACCAGCACCCTTGTAGTTTGAGAACTATAGTCCACTGGCCACAACAGCTGACGGCACTTGTAGTTCATTTGTTCACAGAACTTTGGGAACCGTGTTTTAAATTGTGACAGCAAGTGAGTAAGAGGATCCCCCACCCTCTGTCACAGGGAGGGGCAATTTGGGGGAAAGGAGGCAGGAGCTGGAACATTTTACATGCTTCACCTTAAATACGGGTAGAACATGTAACATGTTCCAAAGGGACAGAAGGTATATTTAGAGTGGAGCATTTAACATGTTCCAGATCCCGCCTCCTTCTCCCCCTTCCCTTGTGACGGAGGATGGGAGTTCTTCTCCCAATGCCCATTGTCACTTTTTGAACACAGCTGTGTCATACATTCACAGCTTCCTGTGAATAAACTAAAAGTCCTGTCTTCCACTGCAGCTGACGGCTTGTAGTTTTCAGTGGGCTGTGGGAGACTATGATGAGTGCTGTCATAGTCCATTTCGAAACAGCTCATACAGAGGTATGGGCTGAAAGCCAAAGGACATGTCTGCAGGAGCCCACATTGCACCCATGAGCTACTGATCATGGGAGCAAAAATGTCTCTTGCTGGAAAAAATAGTAAATACCCTTTTTTTTTTTTCAGCAAAAATATATGCCTTTTTTATTTTTTTCATAAAGCAAAATTTATCTTTTAACTGTATTATGAAAGAGGTGCTTGAGTTTCCAGCTCTCTTGTAAGGAGCCATTTTGTGTTTTGCACAAGAGACCTCTGTGTGTACATAGTCCTCCCCTACTGCTGTCCTGCCTCAAACCACGACAAGGAAGTTGTCTTAAGCTTGGTATACACTGAGGTTTTTTTTTTTATTTATGTCTCAGTTAACTCAGATTCCCACATCCACTCAAGTGGATTCAGTGGTTCCTCCTCTGTGCTGTTCTATTCTGACAGTGGGGACTCCCTTCCTCCTTGCCCTGTCAGAATACACTGATCAAAACTGCAGCCATTGGCTGCAACAGCTGTTTGAATGTTGGTTTTCCAGCAGGACCATTCAACAGAAGGCCTCAGACAGATCAAAATTTTAATAGGTGTGTACCCCGGTTTATTTGTTTGGATGAGGTTAGGGCTATGAGTGTCTACATCCATGGCCTCTTTTTTTCAAGCTGAAATCCCTTTTTGATCTAACTGGAGGTCCTCACAGAGAACACTCTGCTTTTCCCTCCACCATTGCTAGGTGGATCAGGCAACTACTTCCCAGGGTCTTTGATGTTAATGAAAATTTTCCTCCCTTTCCCATTAGAATCCATTCCATCAGAGTTGTTGGTGTATTTTTTGCAAATCTGTTTCCCAGATTTGCAAGGTCATCACCTGGTGCTCTGCTCACACACTTTGTAAGCTCTCCCAGGTGGATACTAGGCATCGGCTGATGCAAGCTTTGGCCTCAAGGTGTTTTGTTATCTGAATAATTTTGTTATGGTTCTTTAAACACTTGTTTTCTTGTGGGTCTGTTAGTATGTCTAGGCTGCTATGTTTCCCACCCCTCAGTTGTACTGCTTGGGTATGTCCCATGGTCTTTGAATACAAGCCCTAGGAGAATGGACCGCTTTTATTTTATATATATTTTTTTCAATGGAAATTTTTTTTTACCTTTTTACTAGTCATTTTTTTTTTGCTTTTGTCTAAAGAATATTTCCTTATACCAACACTTTTGTATGCACTTCTTGAGCTTGTCTTTTATGCAGCTTGTCTGTATCAGCATGTCTTCAGCAACAGATTTGAAGGCCATTCTTCAACCCTGCTGGACTGGATCAGGGCATGCCTGGAGTGTGATCTTTGCTCCTAGACTCAGTCTGTACAGTCTAGGAGCCCTCCCACACTGTGTTTTAACATGTTAGTTCTGGGCTTGATAGTGGACACCTTCAAGACAGTTCCATTTTCTCAGTTCCACAGCTGATCCTTACAAATTCAAAATATTTTGTAATGGGACAAACCAATTGTCACCAAAGACCAGGCTATCTCTGGCCTGGTGGCTCAGGAATCTAGCTCTGTAATTAGGGAAATGCTTCCTCATGATGTCTTAAAAGATTCTCACAATGTATGTAAGGCTGAATGACTGGGAAGGAGTCCTAGACACCTTATCTGTATAGGGGATTTTGTTGTCCCTAAAATACTGGGTCTCTGGAATGTAGGTTTGTCTGATCCAGATTCATTTGGACAACACCACTGCAGTGGCACAGATCAGACATGCAGCAGGAACCGGAACCCTTGCCATGGCAAGAGAATAGAAAGAATTCTATCCTGGGCAGAATATCACACGCCATCCAGCTTGGCAGGCAGGCTACCTCAGTGGGCATTGCCTGGACCTGGTAAACTAATCTCTACACATGGAAGTGTTTCAGGACCGTCACAAGTGTGGGATGCCAGATGTGGGTTTCCTGGTCTTGGGATTCAACAACAAACTAGACAGGTTTTCCTCCCGGTGCAGGGATCCTCTGGTGGCTCTGTGGGATGAGTACAATCTGATCCATGCCATTCCTCTTTTGAAACTCCTTTTAGGTATGCTTGGCAGAAATGAGCGAATAAGCATGCCTGTGATGATCATAGCTCAGGACTGCCCACGTAGATGTGGTACTCCAACCTGATCAGACTTCTGGCAGACACCCTGTAGGCTGTTCAAATTCTGCTTTAATTAACCATTTATTTTTTTTTTAATTATTGTAGAAAATAATTGAGATGAGAAAAATTAGAACACTGTACATACCCCCAACAGATAAACCTCTTACTGTAAGTTGTTCTAGATTGCTCTATATAAAGTAGTTTTTCAAAGATCAGAGGACTCATGGCACAGAATAAAAACTATTTGGAACAGAGTAAAATGAAAAACACACTTTGGTAAGATTATTAGCAACGATTGCATATCTTCCATTTTTAGGAGCAATGCAGAACTGTTCTTAAATTTACCATTTGTTTATCAAAACTGTGTATTTAACAATGTGCATTACTTGTTCTTTGCATTTTCCCAGTGCCTGCTATTCTTTCACGAACATAAAAAAGCAGGAATTGTTAGAAATATATTTTTTCTTTATTTTTAGGGAGAATAGAGAGAATGACAATTACAACAATGAGCAGCAAAAATCAGAGCTCAAGCGACTATATTCTTCAAATGATGATGTTTTCGGTGAATCAACTGTACCATCCAAACCAGCACTAGAAAAGAGTTACACCATTGACATCCCATACACAAGGAATGCAAACATTTCCTTCTATACCATGCAAAATTCTCATAAACCGAACGAAAATTTAATGCAATTTGATGATGAACCCAGTTCTGATGTTGATGCTGCGCCTCAAAACAAGGTTCTTAGTGATGTCAGTGTGCAAAGCTCTCATAAGGAGATAAAGCCCCTGGGCAAGACAATGTCTGTTGATGTTTACACCCCTTACGCTGGTAGCACTACCTACTCATCAAAGAGTTATCTAAAGCAAGAAAACTCATTGCCCACTGAAACCAGTAGTGTGCAAAGCCAGTACTTTTCATCCAGTTCCTTGAACACGGAAAGCAAGCCCAGCGGAATTTCTTCTTCACTACCAAGGGGTTTCCAGAAAACGGACACTAAACGACTCTCATCTGTGGTTACACCAAGGCCTTTTGGATCCCAATCTAAAGGAATTACTCCTCTAACCAAATCATACACCGTAAGCCCCCTACCTTTTATTTGGAATTTATCTTTGTGTGTCCTAAAGGTTTAATTTTCACCAGAATTACAATAAACACGTTTAATATTGGTACACCATGTGTGTTTACATATACTCACTTGCATATATTGTATAGATCTTAACATGCATTAGCACACCGACTACTCATCCCTATTTCCACACTTCTGTTCTGAAGCGCAATCTAATTTTGAGCCTGCTGTAAAAAAGGTAATGTAATCCTATTTAAATTGATTATAATTAAAAAAAAAAAAAAAAAAAGTCAAAAGTGATGCAAAAGAGAAACTCCGAAAGGATATGGATAAACTATGCAGAAAGTGGCATACCAGTTCCAGCCAAAACTTATTTGCTTCGGATACAGCGGGAGAAATGCTATTTTCCCTAGCTTTCTGTTGTCCTGTTATCGAGACAAGAATTAATGCGAAATATTGTCAAAGAAGATTTAAACAGCAGCATATACTTTTTCCTAGTGCAGTTTTATTTCCTATCCCCTCCTTACAAAACTTTAAAGAAAAAAAAAAAATTCCATTTAAAACAATAATACATTAAATTAAATTAGGCTGCTTTCACACTGAGAAGCATTTGACGCAGTTGTGTTAAAGCGCAAGAAAAGCTGAAGAGAAATGCTTCTCTATGTATGTCTCTGTATATTTTTCACACTGGTCTGTTGTTGTGTAAAAAATCCTGCTTGCCACATTTTTGGGACGTATTTAATAAAAAATGAATCAAAAAAGCACCACACCATTAAAATGCATCGAAAAAAATGGCAAAAACGCACCTTTGTTTTTTGATGCGGCATTTTGAGTTGCAATTGTGGTAAAATCATAGTAAAATTGCGGCAAAACGCATATGCGTTATTACCGTGTTTTTGCTACGGATCAGTGTGAAAGTGCCCTATAATGGTTGTAAACCTGTACATATATGCAGTGTGACCAGCATTAGGTGATACAGAGATGAAACCAATCCGCCTACATAAGTTGTAGCTGTGTATCTGAAGCCATTTCTTCTGTAGATTGTTTTGAAAACTCTTAAGAGGAAAGCATTTCTTTTTTGATCTAGAAGCAGGGGGCCCAAGCTGTGCCTTCAATAACACGTTTTTAGGAAACCAGTGGATTTAGTTCTGTTTTCAAAGGCTGCAGCCAGTCACCAAGGTGATGTCTACTATAGAGTCTCTGACACTCCTAAAAGTGTCAGAACGCGAAGAAAAACAAACCCTGTCTACAATGAACTGAAATCTGCTTACAATGGGTTTTTATCTGAGCACTGTACAACAGAATAGGATAAATTCAGTCACTGTTTCAGAGAAACTACATACTATATTTTATTGCAATGTTTTTGTTTTTTTTTTGCTATACATCAGTATACACAGAGTTGAGGATAAAGTGTTTTAACTTTTTTTTGCAGGGTGCAGTTAACAGATTTGTGTTTGTTTTTCAGTTGGATGATACACGAAGGTATAATGGTTCAACTTTCACCTCCAATTACAAGACAGAGATAGATAAACCCAGCAGTGCATTCCATAGTGAGGAAGATGAGACTCGAAGTGGAGATGATGAGAAGAAAGAAGTGAGCCAAAGTATTTCATCCAAAACATTTGATTTGAAGCCAGGGAAGACTTCTGTGTCTCAGACTGTTAACATCAATTCTTCTAGTGCTTTGGTAATTACAGAACTTCTCATCATACATAAACTCTTAATGCAATATAGTACTTGTAAACAATACATCAGAATTGCTCTGCCTATCACTATGAGAAATCCAGAGTATTAGGATATGGTATCTGCACATATATTTGCTGGGTTAGCACAGGGCACAGAAATTACAGGTTTTTGTCCACCTACAGTAGGGTGGCCCCATTTAGGTCTATTTAAATCCAGCAGGGCAGGGTGTAGCCTGTGTATTGTGCTCTGATGGAAAGTTGACATGACTTATATAAAGTCTGTAAGGCTCAATAGGTGTGCTAAAAAACCATTTTTATTTTAAAAGACCTCAAATTATGTTTCTTGTACAAAATATGGTACTGCTATTTACAAATTAAAGATTGGTTTTATTTTTATTATTCTGCTAAAAAACAAAATCAAAAAAATGAATGGACTTAAAATCTTTATAAATACATAAAAAATAAGCAGAGCATAGCTGTTAGCAAAGAGTTAATGAGGTCTAATTAGCATTAATTAAGTAGGTTACATGTACAGGGTTTGTTTGAACAACATGTACAGATTATATTGTGGTTCTACAATATTTGTTCAAAGGCAATAACCAACATACACAACAATTGTTAAAATGCATTTATGAATGAAGCTTGCAACCATTTGTTTGCAGGCTTCATTAATAGAAGAGCCTACTGTTTTGTGATCCTAATACACAAAGTGTGAATCATCTGTCAAATTTACAGCAGGATCCTGCTGTTTGTACTTGGAGCACTGTTTAAAGGCTTTATTCTGCGCCTCATTAGAGTGAAACCCAGATGTTGCAAAACAGCTGAGCTGTGCAGATTACCTTGGATGAGTGAGTGAAGCTGCATGCCAATCCCTTACTTTGGTGTCCTTAGGTGAGATGCCTTCTTACATTGGTGGTCAGTGGGGCGCGGTGCCCCTTTAGATTGGAGAGATGCCCTCTTGCATTGGTGGACAACAGATGAGGCGCCTCCTTTAAATTGATGGTTAAAGTATAAAAACCCTCACCTTGTTAATCCATTCAGTTTTAAATAGAAATGAAAGGCAAAACGTTTGTGTAAACGTAAAAAAAAAACACATATTATAAATGCCCTTTTTTCCTCCATTTTTTTTTTTTTTATATAAGTAATTACATATCCTCTATTCTCAGCTGCATAAGGAGCTCAGGGAGAAGAAACTGCAGCACACTGAATTTCCCAGTGAATGGCTTTGCAAGGAAGGAGGGGTGCTTGTCAGTAGACATCTGCTCATTGGAGGAGCATAGGCTGAGTTTCAGCACAGCTAGAGTTCTGACCATGCTGTGCTCTCATGCTTAGTGTGGTCAGTTTTTATTAGGAAAGCGCAGGAACACCACGGAATTTCACACAAAGGAAGCAATACGAAGAGAACAGGAAACTTTTTCATACAAGTACACGGTACAGCAGGCAAATATCCGGAATCTAAAATGTTGGGTTTACGTATTTTATAAGGTTACCCTTACTTTGGTGGCCAATTGATGAGGTGCCCTTTTACATACAGATAGGAGGATCTTTGATGTCAATGGTAACTTATCTAAGACAAAAGAGAAGTCTAGTCCTAAGCTGCTGGCTTTGCAGTCACATCAACCTTGGAATTAATTATTTTGACATCAGGCAGGGAATCAAATATCATATGGGTAGGTTATCACAATTGGAGCAGACAGAATCTGGAGCAGCTGTGCATGGTAACCATTCAGCTTCTATCTTCAGTTTGCTCGGTTAAGCTTTGAAAATGAAAGATAGTTTGTGGGAGCGTGAAACCCATATCCTGTGTGATAGTTATGGGCAGCAGCATGTTTAGTGTTCCAGTTTTACTGTCTCTGTTTTCAGACTCTTCTCTATTGTTTATTGAGAAAAAAAAATCCAATTTCACTCGGAATTAGTGTTCAACTTTACTCATGTTTCATTCTCATCAAAACTGAGAATGCAACCAGTCTAAAAGGCAATGGAGGAATAGTGTGACAAACAGAACAAAGCATGTTCTGACTGTCTCTCATGCATTCAGTGTGACAGGATAATTACAGAGTATACTGTGTACAGCCTGGCTTCTGGATAGGTTGTCCTCTCTGCCACGGTCACAGACACAGGATACTCAAGTGCTGCATGTGCGTAGTTTTTATATATATTTTTTTTTTAAAAAATTTTTTTTTTTTAGGACCAGTACAGCGACATGAGAATCAGCATCAACCAGAAGCCTGGAAGAAGCAATGACTTTGGGTTTAAAACCACCTGGAATAGTGCTGGGGTTTTCGTAACCTCCGTAGATGCAGGTAGAGTATTTGCTCTGTTTTATATTGTCCAGTCTATGAATTGTAGGTGTAGAATTGCATTAACCGACAACTAAAGAGAAATACCATGCACCCTTATTTCTCTTAAGAATAATTCTTTAGGGCAAGTATAACCAAATGCTACTGTTCTAAAATATACTTTTTTTTTTCTTTAAATGTAAGTGATAAACATTTTTTACATACCATTTAAGTAAATTATTTTAATAAGGTGGGGCAAAGAGTTGATGAAGAATGCAAGATAACTGTTCTCATAGTTTACTTCACATCACTAATAAGCCTGTTGTAAATAAGGTATTGCATAAAACATGTCATGTGTTTGCATAAAGAGGGAAAAACTATTTACGTTTTGTGTTAAACTTGCTATATAGGTTATCTATTTAATGTCAAGTGGACGTATTTTTATTTTCTAGGCAGCCCAGCAGAATTTTCTCAACTGCAGGTAGATGATGAAATTCTATCCCTCAACGGCATCAAGGTTTCTTCAATGGACTATAATCGGTGGAGGGAGGCAATGGACAGTGCTCTGGAAACTGGAAACCTAGCAATAGATGTCAGGCGATATGGCAAGAACGGTGAGTTTCACTAGCATTGTCAGATCTGCTGTTAAACATGTTTAAAGTAGAATTAATGTCTCCATTTTGCCAGTTTGCTATGATCTTTTTGTCTACTATTTTATAATCTGACTTTTCAAAGGAACAATTTTAATAAAAATACAAACCACTAACAACTGGCAGGATGTGCTTTCTGTTAACACTTTAACATCTACCTTTATTTTACGTGTGTTTATTAAATTGGTGGTGGCATCGCACTTTGCAGGTTGGTTATTAACCTTTGTAGCCTTACCACTTTCAACACATTTATTTATACAGTGATCAGTGATTCTAATTTAACAGCATGATTAAGCTTATTAGTAGTGGATATAATAATACTCTTAAGTTGGCATTAAAGTGGAACTCCATTAATAATTTAAAATGCTCACAAAACATAGGCCCTTTCATTTGAAAGGAACTATAGGCATTTTCATTTTGGGCTCATAGTTTCAACATGCTTCCAGCATTCAGGTAGATTAAATGCTAATATTATTTATATACTTAAAGTGGTTGTAAAGACTTATGTTTGTTACCTTCATGCCCTGTATGAAGGTAAAAAACCTGTGTGCAGCAGTTCCCCCAGCCTCCCCAATACTTACCTGAGTCCCATCGTGATCCAGTGATGTGCACTATAGCCTCAGCTCTCTGGGGACTCATTGGCTGCTACAGCAAGCCTGTCAATCACAGCCATTGAGACAATGAGGAGAGAGAGGGGACAAGGCAAAGCCGCGTCTCTGGGATCAAGCCTTCTTGGGTGCCTCCCATACCAAGCTGCTTGCTCTGGCGGAACTTGGCAGGAGGGAGAGGACAAGAGCGCCAGCAGGTGACCCGAGAAGAGGAGGGTCAGGGCTGCTCTGTGCAAAATCATTACACAGAGCAGGGAAGTATAATGTTGTTTTAAAAAAAAAATAAAAATAATTGGCATTTAATATCACTTTAAGCTCTTATGTTCTCATAGACTGGATTTAAAGGAGAATTACAGCCAAAGCTTGGGGAGAACGGGTGTTCACAGCTGTGTTTGATCACTCAGTTCTCACCCTTAGAGCTGGCAGGGGACAGATGATGCATCGACCTAGGAAAGTATGATTTAAAAAAAAAAACAATATTCTACCCTTAAACAAGGTAGAACACTTGATTCCTAGAATGTTTTTTTGGGGGCAGGTTTATGCAGGACTGCAAGCTATTCTGAACAAATCAAAGCTCCCGTCAGACTGGGGGTATACTAAAATTGAGTGCATTAACATAACATGCACCACCCAAGCATCGAAGTTTCTGAACATTTTTGGTAGAACAGAGAGTGCTCAAATCTAGTTTACAGCTGAAGATCTGCCTGCACAGCACAAACAGGGTTAACATTACTACCCAGCCTCCTCCTTACATAGGAGAGAAAGCTATGTAGGGTTTTTAAAGTAACAGCTTGGTGTATACATTTTGGCAATGCTGAAATGACTGAACCACCATGTGCATGGGAGTGGGGGCACAACGGCCTGGGATTGATATGTGGGGACAGCTGGACTGAAGATGTTGGAAGCGGCTGGCAAGGAGCTCCTGGAAAACACAGCCCTGGTATAGTACCTCTTTAAACAGCAATTTTCACCTTTTTTTAAAGATATTCTATGTGAATGGGGACATGTAACAATTATAAATTAGGTGTTATCCCAACATTTCTGCAAAAGTGAAAATACACTTTATTCATACAGTTTATGAAGCAGTTGTTTAATGGACATGCATGTAAGCTGCTCTACTTGGAGGGTGTAAAACATGAATTTGTTGTATTTCCTACTTTTGCTTTTTTGAAAACCACATACTGTTATTTTATTAGACCTGGAGTTCTTCTTTTATGCATTTAATTTACTATTATTGCTTTAGCCATTTGCCTTGTCTGTACACTTAAAATGTGCATGGGTATAAGGAGGCTATATTTCAGAAAAAGAAAGTAGTTGGTTGGTTGAATTAGTTATGCAGTCTTAAAATAAAAAGTTTGTATAGATTTTTTTCTAATGTGTGCAGAGTGTTTGGAGTGTTGGCACAAAACCGTTCATAATCCTACATTCCAGTAGGCAAAGCAGCCCTTTAATGCCATGGTTGTGATCCTAACCCCACTAGTAAGAAATCCTTATTCATGCCCACTATTAAGTGAAAAAAATACAACAGATTTGAGCATGTCCACTTGGCCAAGCAATTGAAATGGCATATTTTGTAAGCAGTTGAAATAACTAAGAAGAGCACGTTCAAGCATTATGGTTCCAGAGAAAAATACTACATTTTGAAGCACGTGAATGGCTTTTCACAATGTAAATTTTTTTTCACTAAAAGTTAACAATACATCATGGGGTGTAAAAATATAATCAGATGACCCAATTACTGGCACAAGACATTTTTTCTACTTATCCCTTGTTTTCTTCCTTTTATTTCAAAATAGTACTATCTAACCTAGTGGGGATTCACATCAAACAGACATTGGCTTTTGCAGGACTGATTTCAGAAAACTGCTATGGTTTTTATACTATGAAGTTTTGTAAACTTAAAAAATCATTCTGTAGCTAATGAACCATTTTGGTTTTAATATACATAGGTTTATTAAAAAATCTCTAGATCATTACAACAATTTATTTAATATAGGAGGAGGTCGCAAATAAAATTGCTGTGTGGGCTTTGATGAAGGATTATGTAATGTGCAGTGTCCATTTGTTAAAAAAATGCCCTTTGCAAATGGTAAAATCCTAATTACAAGGCAACAAGTTAGTATTTTTCATGAAGAAAACAGAGTTGGAGCTTCTTCAAGATACAGCAAATTGTTTAACATGTTAGTGCATGTGTACTTGCATGTCTGGGAAGGTGGTCTTTTTGCAGAAATTTAACACTCTGTGACACTGCTTTTCTGCTTGCTTCATCACTTTTTGTATTGTCCTATGTATATGTCTTACGTATGTGTTTTCATTAACTGTCATACTTTATGTTGCTGCATTGATTACTTACCAATCAGACTGGGGCAGAGATCCACCTTCCCTGCCGTATAAAAGCCATAAAACCCTCAATCTGACCAGTATGGATACCAAACTTGTAGGTTCTCCGGATAATAAGTGGATTGATGCAAGTTCAAGGGGAAGTAGATCCCCAAACTCATCACCAAGAAGCAAAGACAAAGACTCTGGAAATGTAAGTAGATTTTATCATCAGTGATAATTGTATTACTTTCTCCTATATACAGTAGGTTGCCAGATAAAAAAATAAATCTTTGCATACAAATAAGCCAAATCTTTAGTAAGAAGTGGCTGCATTTTTTGGGCCATGCATGCCCATCCTTGTGTTTTTAAAGGTAGTAAATGAAAGCAGTTTGCTCCTATCTATAGTTTAAAATACAAATCAAATATTGCAAAACTGATTTTCTAATATTTTACCAAAGTGCTTCATGTTAGCTCTGTAAAATTAGTGATCATTTCTGTATATTTATATATGCAATAAAATTGAAGATGATAAACTGAAAGTGAAAGAAAAGCCTAACAATTCTTAATGTTCCCTTCCCTCTCTTTCAGCCTAAGCCTAGTGTTAATCTGCTTCCTTCAGTGCAATGGAAAGGCTTTTTTGGTGTCATGTTGTGCGGTGAGGCTGATGTACATCCTATTACAGAGCGAGCCTTTTTTTGGAGGTCTGGCTTTGGGATAGTTCTCTGTAGGAGGCATACGTTGTCATCTATGGTCTGTGTTCCATAACTTTGACAGCTATATGGGCACAGGTGAAAATTAGAAGTTCAATTTTCGTGTTTTGATATAGACAAAGATATATGGCATTTTTAGCCAGCTAGCAATTATTTAATCCGTTTCAGTCATATGAACTCAACCCACAGCTCCGGCTTCCCTGTGTCAGTGAACGGCTGTTGAAAGGAAGAGGAGGCAGTGCTGACGATGGCTGAGACATGGGAGCTCAGGGGTGAGGTCACAGCTCCTGGAATTTCTAACTGTTAAGCGCTTCCTGAGCTGGAGCTGCAAGGGCATGTGATCTGAGCAGATAAAAATAAGTATGCACACGCACACTTTTTTTTTGACAGGATGGATAGGAGAGGGGTGAGAACGTTTTTAAGAATTGTTAGACTGGGCTTTTTCTTTACAACTTAACCACTTCCTGTTGGCCCACAGCCTATAAACGGTGGATGGGAAGTAGCTCTGATGCAGGTTAATGTACCTGTACGTCACATTACTGCTGTGTCTGGGTGATCACTTAGTCTTGTACCATTTTATTGCTTTGTCTAATCACAGCAATCACATAGTAAACAATGGTAAACCATGGAAACTGAAAATAAGCTTCGGTTCTCTCTGCTTTCATTGTAAGAGCAGAGAGCACTATTGTTACATCCTATAAATGTACAGCAGCCAGTCACAGTGCATGTACACTCACAAACTGCAATGCCAGCCTGCCCCAGTGTCCCTGATCACTGCCCCCAGTGTAATACTAATAGAGTGCAGTCAGCCTCTGTCACCTGTTCCAGTGTCACCAGTGCTCAGTTATACCACCATACCCCATAGCAGCGTCCTGATCACCGCTATACTTAATACCAGCATCCTTATCACCGCTATACTTCATACCAGCATCCTTATCACCACTATACTCCATACCAGCGCCCTGATCACTACCAGAAGCCATACCAATGCCTTGATCACTGCCATATGCTATATCAATGTCCTGATCACCGCCATATCAACCTCCTGATCACCACCATACCCCTTACCAGCATCCTGATCATCGCCATACTCCATACCTGCGTCCTGATCGCCGCCATACTCCATACCAGCGTCTTGATCGCTGCCATACTCCATACCAGCGTCCTGATCGCCGCCATACTCCATACCAGCGTCCTGATCGCCGCCATACTCCATACCAGCGTCCTGATCGCCGCCATACTCCATACCAGCGTCCTGATCGCCGCCATACTCCATACCAGCGTCCTGATCGCCGCCATACTCCATACCAGCGTCCTGATCGCCGCCATACTCCATACCAGCGTCCTGATCGCCGCCATACTCCATACCAGCGTCCTGATCGCCGCCATATACTCCATACCAGCGTCCTGATCGCCGCCATACTCCATACCAGCGTCCTGATCGCCGCCATACTCCATACCAGCGTCCTGATCGCCGCCATCCTGACTCCGCCATACCAGCGTCCCGATCGTCGCCATACCAGCGTCCCGATCGTCGCCATACCAGCGTCCCGATCGTCGCCATACCAGCGTCCCGATCGTCGCCATACGCCATTCCAGCATCCCAATCAATTTTTACACACGCATACATACGTAGCAGAATACATTTTGGCCGAAATTTATGAAGGAAGGTTATTAATTTGCAAAATTGTAAACCTAAATTTTTTTTTTTTTTTCTTAAGTTTTAGAAATGTTTTCATTTTATATAGAAAAATAAAATAATATAAACCCAGTGGTGATTAAATTAAAAAAATGATCATTTTATTTAGGCACAGTGTTGCATGCCTGAGTAATTGCCATTCAATGTGTGACAGTGCTGAAAGCTTAGAATTTGCCTGGACTGGAAGGGGATGACAGTGTTCGGACATGAGGTGGTTAAATGCTAGAATGTATCCTGCCCCCTTTGGTTTAACTGCTTCAGCTATTCTAGCTGACAGAGGGGACTAGTTCACATTAGCTGTACAGTAAAATATTGTCTTTTAGGCCCAGTTCACATCTTGTGTCTGCTTTTGTTTTTTTATGTCATAGCGCCCTTTCACACATTTTCAGTTCTTTCACAGTGCACAGAAGTGAAAATTCACAGAAAAGGGGACATGCCTCAATTTTGAAACTGCACAACACGACAGAGATCTGCACAGTCTCATTCAGTAACATTGCTCCTTATGACACATGCGTTTTTCACTTTACAACGTACACGTAAACCGCAAGGTGTTAATGGGGCCTAAATCTGTTATAGCACATGCATGTGGATTTCTGTACATATTTCCTCACATGTTTTCTCCAGTGGTTAGAATGACATTTTTGTAAAGTATGTATTTTTCAGTCCGTGTATGGAATGCGATACATATACTTCATCTTCTTCGTTACCACCGAATTAGTGAAAATTATTTGTTAACCAAATATGCATTTATATGCAGCAGCTGATAACTCTAAATTGGGTAATGCATAACCACTGTTGTTTACTTAGGTTAAAGAGATCAAACAAGTGAATGGTCTGAAAGATGATGTTGATTCTAAGCCAAAAGGTAATGTATTATGCAAATAACTGTTGTATGTTATATTTTTTTTATTTATGTATTTTTTTCTTTTTAATTTTCATAGCAGTCATTTAGTTTCATAGTAATTTAAGTTGGGACTGGAGTTTGCTTGGTTCATGGAGTTCCTAGCTACACCTTTACTGAGTGTATATCTGTAACCTGGATCTAAAGTTGTACAAAAGGTGTTCATTGTATGTAAAGGTGGTTTAGATGTGACCGTGATTTGCAACAGTCTCTCAAGCTGTTTAGAAAGCTCGCACTTAGACTTTTCTTGGGCTAAATTTTTCCATGTTTTTTTTTTTTTCCTCAATTTTATGTGTTGCATGTTTGTGTCATAGCAAAAATGTAAGGTTAAAGGGCCCATTGATTTTGTTACTGTTTAATGGCATTTTAAAGCCATATCTAAAAAAAAAAAAACTACAGAATAAGCACAAAGGGACACTGATGTGTGATGTTCTCTAGTGCATCAGTAATCTTTCTCTCCTGACGACCCCCACACCCCTCACCCCCTTTATTCATAGAAGCTGTAGTACTTTTATGAATGGAGGAGCTTGGCAGAAAAGGCAGGTATAGAAGGGCATTCTTCATCAGTGCCTGTTACAGCGCCTTCGTTTTAATAAACCCCTGTTGCACTTGAAAATTATGGCGGTGAGGTTGAGGGGCATCAGAGGAGGAAGATTACTGCTACATTAGAAAGCAGAAGCGCAAGGGACACATCGCACTAAAGGAAAGTAATGTCCTCTGTGCAAATGTTTATTTTATTTTATTTGAACTTGGGCTTTAAAAATACACTGCTTAAAAAAATTAAAGGAACACTTTAAAAACACATCAGATATCAATGGGGAAAAATATCATGTTGGATATCTATACTGATATGGACTGGGTAATGTGTTAGGAACATAAGGAAGCCCTATCATTTAATGGAAATGAAAATTATCAACCTACAGAGGACTGAAATCAAAGACACCCTGAAAATCAAAGTGAAAACATTGTGCAGTAGGCTAGTCCAGTTTGCTGGAATTCCATTGCAGCTACTCAGAATAGTACTTAGTAGTCTGTATGGCCCCCACATGCTTGTATGCATACCTGACAATGTCGGGGCATGCTCCTAATGAGATGACGGATGGTGTTCTGTGGTATTTCCTCCCAGATCTGGACCAGGGCATCACTGAGCTCCTGGACAGTCTGAGGTGCAACCTGGCATCGTCTGATGGACCGAAACATAATATCCCAGAGGTGGGTCTATTGGATTTAGGTCAGGCGCGCGAGGGGGCCAATCGGTGGTATCAATTCCTTCATCTTCCAGGAACTGCCGGCATACTCTCGCCACATGAGGCCAGGCATTTTCGTGCACCAAAAGGAACCCACTGCACCAGCGTAGGGTCTGATAATGGGTCCAAGGATTTTATCCCGATACCTAATGGTAGTCATGGTACCATTGTCTAGCTTGTAGAGGTCTGTGCATCCCTCTATGGATATGCCTCACCAGACCATCACTGACCCACAACCAAAACAGTCATGCTGAATGATGTTACAGGCACCATAATGTTCTCTAGGGCTTCTCCAGACCCTATCACATTTGCCATGTGCTCAGGGTGAACCTTCTCTCCTGTGAAAAGCAAAGGGCGCCAGTGGCGAACCTGCCAATTCTGGTGTTCAATTGCAAATGCCGACCAAGCTCTATGGTGCTGGGCAGTGAACACAGGGCCCACTAAGAGATTGTTGGGCCCTCAGGCTATCCTCATGAAGTCTGTTTCTGATTGTTTGGTCAGAGACAGTCACACCAGTGGCCTGCTGGAGGTAATTTTGTAGGTCTCTGGCAGTACTCATCCTGTTCCTCCGTGCACAAAGGAGCAGATACCAGTCCTGCTGATGGGTTAAGGACCTTCTACGGCCCTGTCTAGCTCTCCTAGGGTAGCTGTCTGTCTCCTGGAATCTCCTCCATGCTCTTGAGACTGTGCTGGCAGACACAGCAAAGCTTCTGGCAATGGCACGCATTGATGTGTCATCTTGGAGGAGTTGGTCTGCCTGTGTAGGCTCTGTAGGGTCCAGGTATCGCCTCATACTACCAGTAGTGACACTGACCTTTGCCAAATGCAAAACTAGTGAAAAACAGAAAATATGAGCAGGAAATAAAATGGCAATGGCATCCACCTGTAAAACAATTCCTGTTTTGGGGGTTGTCCCACTGTTGCCCATCGAGTGCACCTGTTGTTAATTTCATTAACACCAAAGCAGCTGAAACTGATTAACAACCCCCCTCTGCTACTTAACTGACCAGATCAATATCCCAGAAGTTTAATTGACTTGATGCTCTGATAAACAGTGTTCCTTTTTTAATTTTTTTGAGCAGTTTATTATAGCTATATAAGTTACAGCTTACAAATATGAAGTACTTTTGCTGACAGAATAATCAGTTTACTTAAAACTAGTTTTCTGGCATGATATTGGCCCGAAATATATACTGTTCATCTGTATATTACTTTCAAAATAAATATGAATTTGAATAGTGGACCAGTTTCTTTCTGTATTAAAAATAGAAACAATTGTGTGCGCTGATTTTCCTCATCAGTATAAATAGACCATAAGTTCATGACCTAATAGATGAGATGCCGCCATGTACACCATACCATATACTTGGTTCCCCATGTGGGCTATACATTTAAATATGTTTTCTAGTTCTTTTCATGATCTCTCACTCTTGACAGTAGTGTTTTGCCCATGTGCCTTGTTTAAATATCTCATGAGTTTAAAGTACAAACTGATACTCTGTGAACAGCTGTGAGACAGATCTTGTTGCAAGGTGAGGTTGAATTCAATCTCTGGAACACCACTGTGTGCTCCCCATAATATGAATGTGCAGTTGTTTCTTTCTGTCATATGAATAAAAGCAGTTGATATAAGTGACTTACAAAGTTGAAGTTTTGAAGGACAATATTATCTTCCCATTTCATCACACACAGCTGAAGCCCCTCCCATATATTTTTGATGGCGTAGACTAGTGATGATGAATCATGAGTATCAGTCAAGGAAGACTGCATCATTCATGCCAAACTCTAGACAGAAGTTTTAAGTTTTAGACTGAGTTGGGAAAGAGATATTTGTATACATTGACAGCTCATCCCTTTATATCCTGTTTTGCTGTCAGAGGCGAAAAGTGAAATCTCCCCAGCAGGGGCGCACAGAGCAATTATAAGTTGAGGGACGTATTTATTCTCCCCAGGTGTATATGTGTATATGTGTATATATGTATATGTGTGTGTATTTATATGTGTGTGTGTATGTGTGTAATATATATATATATATATATATATATATATATATATATATATATATATATATATATATATATATAGTCTATATTAGATAAAAAAAAAAATAAAAACACTGCCCGATATGAAGGTTTGAAAATGAGGACATGTATCACGACACCTAGCTAATAGTTGGCAAGCCTCACTGTGTACACTGCTTGTACTACAGAGTCATGTCGGAGCTTACTGAGCTTCAAAGAGGGCATATTTTTGGTGCCCGCTTAGCTGGTGTGACTGAAGCTGCCAATTTTCTGTGTCCTGAGGTACAGAATCAAATGTTATGACCGCATGTATAGTTTCTGGGAAAATGTTGTCTTGATATGCATAAGCACGGTCGACATGGTGAACTGACCTAAAGCGACAAAAGGACATTTTGCAGGATTGTGGTCCAGAGTAAGAAAACAACTGCTGCAAAAGTGACTGCAGAGCTCAATCTCAGTCATTTTTTTTTTTTTTAAAGCCTGGTAAGGCACTGTAATTGAGCTCCTTGAAACATTATGGAGCTGATTTACTAAGGGTAAATAGACTATGCACATTGCAAGTGCAGTTGCACTTTTTCCCCAGCGCTTAGTGAATGTGGTGAAACTTTGCTGAGTTCCGTCATCCGATGAGTTGTAATTAAAAATGCTGTTTATTTTTAATTTTCCTTTTTTATTTTCCTTGCATCTGATTGGGTATTTTTTTACAAAGTGGCACTTTACCTCATTTACTAAGGTCTGGGGAAAATGATTGCAACTGTGCTTGCAAAGTGCGCAGTCTATTTGCCTTTAGTAAATCAACCCTTATGTGTGTTAGTGTGTATACAAAATGTGTGTGTGTGTATTTATGATAAAGTTCAAGCTCATTAGTTCAACTGATTGCTGAAAGATGTGGATGTGCTGTATGTTTATGTATTTGTCTTTACAACTTAACATTTTCTATTGTATTTGGACTATATGGTGGGACGATCTATAGGCACTGTGCATTTGTTTTTCTTCAGACTTTGAGGTTGCTGTTCAAGTTAAGTCATAGGACTAAAAGCTAGGTTTTGGGGGATTGAGCGTTACAACATTTTTCTAGTTTTACACAGATTGGGTAAGCATTAGAATGTCCGCCATATTTTTATTGCGGTATGTGGGAGATTCATCCTCTGGTGTTTATCCTTAGAACCATTATCACTGGGACCAAAAGTGTTGGTACATCCAAAGTTTTACAGTCACTGGAACAGAATGTGAGAGATTCCTTGCTTTCTGTTATGTCTGAAGTGGTTGTAAACCTCAGACATGAAAAGTGAACAAAGCAATCACTGTGGGTGACCTGTTTATGTACACATTGTGCCAGGGAGGCGGGTGGGTGATAAATCTGGAGATCACCGCACTCACACATCGCCCAGGAGCCTAGATGGATGGGGGCACAATGGGAAAGTCTCACAGTAAGTTTCGGTCAAAAATCTTTTCCATCTGCTTTCAAGATGAGGCAGGCACAGAGCAGGGGAGGCCATACAAGACCCTCAATGTGTCTTCTACACGGGGTGAGAGGCCCAGACCAGCCTGCATGCCACCACTAGATAATCTGCAGCCTCTCTGAGGACGATCTGAGGAGCCTTGTGTGCAGCAGCGCTTTACCTGAACCTGCGCAGCTATCTGACAATTTCAGAGAGGCGTTCTTAAAACCTTTAAAGGGCTCTTACACATGTGA